TCTCCGTGCACGCGAAAAATTCCTCTCACTTAACCGGTCGAACCGGTTAGATTATTTTACTGAAGACATTTCAAGTCAAGTCGGTTCATTTCTAAGAGTTGTGACGTCATTGTCAGGTGACATTCATTACGATATCAAAAAAAAAAACAGGACGCTGTGGGAGCGTTTATTTGGAGGTCGATTTCCTAGCCGTGTGTGAAGTTTTTTTGTGTGTGTATTAGGAATGTGTGGGTGGTGCAGTAGTATGTATATTTTAGGGGCTGGTTGAGATGCGTGAAGTGGAAGGCGTGGAGTTATTTTGGAGGGGAATTGGTAAGATAATGGCTGTAGTTTGTTAATCCGTGAAACTTGTTTCTCGTCGAATTTAATATGAAGTAACAAAAAAATTGGGAGTTAAAGATGATTTTAGGTGTTGCAGTGAGCTAGTTGTGGAAGTGCTAATTTGGTTATGAAGGGATAGTGTAGTTACAGTGTTTTGAAATGAAGTAGGGGCTGTGAAAATTAAGTCTTGTCAATAGTGGAAAACATACTTGCACTTATTTTAAACGTTGTTAGGCTTTCTGTTTAGGATTGGTTTTCGCTTAGTTTTTATAGTATTTGTATGGAGAAAACATGATAAGCCAAAAGTTCATTTGATATAGAGATGTTGACGGGGAGTTGGGAGGGGAAGGGGGGGTGAAATTTTGTGTGTGTGTGCTCGGGAGCTTTGAAAAATCGCAGAGGTCAAGGGGAGGGCGTGAAATGTGGCTATTGAACTAAGGGCCTGATTGAGGGTCTGAATGTGTGTGTGTGGGGGGGAACACTTGTCGGTTGTCGGTTCAAATTCAGTTACTTTGTCGGTAGTTGGTTAAAATTTTCGATCTTTGTCGGTAGTCGGTAAAACTCAGTTAATAAGTAGTAATGCGTGTTAATTATAATATTTGTTATGTATTTCACTCAGTTTCAATACTTTGAGCCCTATAAAACGTGTAAAACTTGTAAAAATGCATCATTTGATCGAACTTAAACTTTCTTAACTCTGGTTTGTTTTTGTTCAACACGATCTTTTATTTCACCTTTGTTTTCCAACAGCACCGATAAAATCACCAAAGCTTTTATTGCAAATGTGAACTTGGTTTACCTGTTGATTACAGGGAACTATGAAAAGTAATGAAGAGAGGTTAATTGGACACAGAGGGAAACGCCCACTCTAGTGTTTTGGATTACGTACTAAATTATTTTTGGTGAAAAACTGCAAAAAGTGACAGGCTGCACATCTATACCGGTGTGAAACCGTGTGTCGATCTTTAACATCTTTGCCATGATCATGTTCCTTTCTTGTGCGAAATAATAGGTGGTTCTTTAAAAATATGGCAAAGTTCAGTGTCTTGGTTGGTTCTGTATGAGATTCCGCTTTTCCTTTAAAGCTTCTTTTTTAGTCGACACTAAGGGCTGGTATTGTGTCACGAAAGACAACATTTCTTTTTCTTGCTTGCTTTTTTGTTTCAGGAGCGCGGACTTCCAGTTTCTCTGAGTTTCATTTATTTCTGATAGCAATTTTGTTTTCAAATTGTGTTGGTACCCTCTGTCCATCAAGCGTTTTTTTTAAAATTTGAAATACTTTCCCAGTCAAACGTTGCTTAAGGCTTAAGGCGTGTGTGTTGGAAGGTTTCCGTTTGTTGAAAATGTGTCTTTTCATTAAGGATAACTTTTTCGTTAAATCTTGTGTCTTCGTATACAACTGTGTCTAAAAACATTGTCTCAGTGAATATCGGTTATGAATAATTTAATTTTTACTTTTGCGACGAAAGCCACGATGTCTGGTTTACTTATCGTCCCCAGCGAAAAAGTGTCATCCGTGTAGCGTTTCCACCGGAACAGTTGGTTCAAAGACGGATTTGCTTAGACTTAGTGGCGGTTTTATGTAATGTACGTATTCCACTAATATTGCCTTTGGTTAAAAAATCACATGGTTTGAAACCCGGTAAAGCTGGCCCTTATGTTCAAGGTGATCTCATTGAATTGCATTGTGTATCCTTACTGGGCAATTAACTTCTGGTTTAGCACCCGCTATGTTAAAAATTGTGCATTTAACATTTTCATTTTAACTCGCGTCCCAACCAGTATTGAGGGTCCCCAATAGGGTTCTTCAATAATCCCGTCCCCAAATTTCGTGCAATCCCGAGGGTTATTTTTGGCATCTACCTCCCGTGCATACTTTCAATCCCGAAACTAGCGAATTGTTTAATTAGTTTTTTCTTCCCTTTGACATTTGCGTAAAGCAAAAAAAAAAAAACATCGTTTTCGGTTGAGCTGCGTTCGGTGATATTTTGATTCAAAAAAAGGTATATCCAGATTTTGACCTAAAGAAACTTATAGGGGTCAAACAATTGCTGAATACTTAGCGAGTCGTACGCCTTTAGAATAATATGGCAGTGTTAAAAAGTTTAAAGAGTACTCAGAATATGGTTAGTAATACTGGGGCTAATTACAAGTACATCTCTTGCAAAGCTTAACACAGAAGAAAATGATTTTTGCAGTCGTGGGTCGGTTCGCGTAGAAGAAAAAAAAGGCGTTCTATATGACCCAATTTAATTGAGTCATCAAATAATGGAGACAAAAACTTGATTTTTTTTAAGAAATTTGCAAATGAAAGATGAAACTGACCAATGAAACTGTCAGCACCTGCTTGAATTAAGTACCTTTTTTTACTGTTTAGCGGTCGAAACCGACGATTCCAAGTGACCTTGCTATTTTCCGACAAATTAAGCAATAAATTGTTTGTATGTGGCCTGATAAACGACAATTACCCACCATTGTAGGGCGCGTGCGCGTGGGGGTCACGAATAGGATCGGATATAGTAAATTACAACAAACAGTTTGAATCGCAAACATCACAAGAAACAAACATGCTGAGGTATAATCTGTTTAAATTAGGTTCTATCAGTGATAGTTTTCATATCATTTTATTTCCCATTTTGATCGTTTTTTCGTTTCCTACGTGCATTACATGGCTGCCCTGTACCCTTTTCTTTAACTACATCTCTCTCTCTTTTTCAGAATCGTTTGCTTGCTATGCTGTAATTTCATAAGAAAATCACCCTGGATGCCCAAGCTATTTTTTAACTCCGAGTTTCGAAGGAAAAGTTATCGGCTGAAATTCATTGCAGGAAACTCAGAAGCAGGTGGCTGGAAACCGGCCAAATAACCCTGCACATCCGCACAGTACCAAAACTCGCATAATTTTAAAGATACTTTGAAGAACACGGCAAAGTCTTGAGACAGTTTCAAGGTTAGTAATTTTACTGTAACGGCAGATTAGGAGCCCATAACCCGGGAGTGAGCAACTCTTATACTAGGCCTATGTCACTGCGTTTTCACTGACCGATTTATTTTTAGATACATTTTAGAGTCCTATTTCTACGGAAATTTGAAGCTCCGCTCCATTCATCAGCGCACTGTAAATATATGATACCACAAAGGAAAACTTAACGTTATTAAAAGGTTAAAAATGAAATTTTCAGGAGTTTTGGTTTTGCTTTTTGCTTTGTGAAACATGACAGATATTCCAAAATTTGAGTCAAAATCGTTCAGATATTTGTTTTGCTCAGGTAAGAAGGTAAGGTATTTATAAGCGAAAGTAGCAGGAAAAGGGGCAACAGACTGAGTGCACAATCTGTGATCGCTGTTTCTTGTTTTCGTGAACCGTAAGAGCACGTAAAGTGCAAATACTTGATTTTTCTACCGTGTCATGATCATGACGTCCGAGGTTTGAAGACATAAATGGTTTGCTGCATTTTTCAATAATATGTGACCTCCTCAAACCAAAAATTTAATGAACGGTCACGTTATTACCTTTTAAGGACATCTCAGGTAGCAAAGGGGTTCGTACCAGCTCGGGAAGGGGGTGGGGAGGGGCACTCCCTGTTATGACATTTACGGGGAGGCACTGCCCGAAAGAGGTACATTTTTCAGGGTTCAGGTATGTCAAAGGGTAGGGAATTCACGAATTGAAGTATACGACAGGGTAGGAATATCTATCATTTCAGTATTGAAAAGACGCGCCTTGTTGCGGGGTGCCATGAAACGCATTAACCGCGCGGAATGATGAGGCCTAGGGACTAGGCAACTTCGGTCTGACATTTGCCGCTTGCCTTAAGCGTGATTTAAGTTGATAACGGTTACATAAAGGGAAACTGCTGTACTGCCCTTGCGCGCCTTTTTGGTCCGCATACAGTCCTCTATGACTGGTGTGGTTATAATTAAATTTCGACCCTGCTCGCCATAGAGCCTCCAGTAGCTCAGTGGCTAGAACTCTGAGGGCCGTGAGTTCGATTCTTACCTGTAGCTTGGAATTTTATCTGAGCTATTCTTCTACCAGAGCTCTCGATCCTTGGCGCTGACGGCAAGGATCGCAGGCCTGCAACCTCTCGTTTCGCGGAGACGGAAAATGGTTTGGACAAAGCAAAACGTTCGGTCAAAAAAACAAAATTTCTTTGAACGAAGGGAATTTTGATCCATTCAAAACGAACTTTTGCATCAATATGTCGTCTGATCCTATGCTTCCTAGTTTGGTTTCGGTTTATTACCTCGCTCGAGAAATTTTGCCGACAATAGGGCAATCGGATGCACCAAAGTTTCATGATATTTTGTCTCACGCAAAAGTTTACCTTTGTAATTTGTTCGCGCGAATTTCCCCAAAATCTGGCCGCTCTCATTGATCGACGCCGAATTAAATCGCCATTTTAAAAAATAGTCAACCGCTAGCCATTTGATCGTGGGCGCAAACCCCTTGTCCGAAAGGCAACGACGAAAAGCGAAGCTTTCTGAACGAAGCGCGAAGTGCCGAGTACAACCATTAAAGAGGCAAGCATTCCGTATTATTTACTGTTATCCGATATTAGCAAATTGCGAACCCTTGGGCCCAGTTTTGTGGTATATAGGTTGCTTTTCTGTGCATCAATGCAGCACTTACAACTGATTTTGCCCTTTTTTTTTTAGGCGTTGTGTCCAATAATAACATGAAGCTGATCCAATTTTTTACGATCGTTCTTTGCCTCTGTCATCAATCTCCAATTGCCTTTACGTGTACCCAGAATGACGATCCCTGCGGTGACTTCCAGCCGTTTTACGAAATGGCGCTTAAAGGACACGTCTTCCAGACGCTAAAAGTTCCAAGTTCACTTTATTGTTTAGAAGCTTGCAAGCATGAGGCAAGATGCCAGAGTTTCAACCACTTCATGGGAAAAGACATCTGTGAGCTCAACAACCGCACAAAAGAGGCAAGACCAGAGGACTTTATCTCGGACGTTACCAAGTTGTACTTGAAAAAGCCTAAGAATAGAGGTAAATTGTAGAAGAGTCAATTTACTGTATGACACATATAAGATTCTGGAGAAACTCTCCAGCTACCCCTCCCTTTACTCAATATTCTAAAGTTGGGTACCGTTAGGGGAGGAATAGGTGTCCAGTGTTTAGAGTCTCTATAAGACGCCACTATGAGACGAACACCTCCCCAAAACGTAAACGCGGAGTTGGTCCTCACCTTCGTACTTCAGTCATCTTCTTTATCGCTCTATAACACGGACAGAGTACAACTAACTAGCTGAGATGGACACTAAGTGGCACTGAGTCCCTCTGTCCGCTGCAGAGCTGAGGCTTGCGATATGTAGCAACAATTGAAGATTTGTCTTTCTTGCTTTTGACGTTATTTACAAGTATTCTTTCTTTTCTTTTCTGATTGCATTTTACTTGTTATCAGGTGATATCTGGTTGCAGTAGAATTATTTTATGTCTTGTCTTGTCTAAAAATAGTAAGCGCTTGGTGGACGATGAGAGGAGAAAAAAGGCGGGAGCCTGGCCTGTTGTTCTGTCTTTCGCATTCTTATGGTCCACTGCGCGCTTTCTTATTTTCCTCTTCCCATCCTCCTCTCGACGCAAGGAGGCTTCTGCAGATGAAAGAGCGGCAGTAGGGACTTAAGGCAGCGACATTTTTGAGCGACGAATGTCAACTGGAAGTTAACCTTTTTCTCTTTTTATATGCCGAGACGCTATTAAATTTGTCTTGGTAGGTGTCTTCCCTCTTAAAGAGACGTTTTGTCCAAAAGTTTGCTCAAAATCACGGCTCAGCAGTGCAAAAAGTTCACTTCCGATTGACGTGCGTCGCTCAAAAACGTTGCTGCTTTTAAAAACTGTCTAGTCACAATGGTGGCTGACGCAGTAAGAACTGACTAAAGGTACGGAAAAACGGGCAACAAAAAACGTTCAACTTGTTTTGCAACATTGCTGCAAAACGAGTCGAATAACGATGTTACGCGTTTTATCATCCATGCTCAAACCTGTTAACAACCTGATTTTTTGCAAGGTAGGTTTTATGTGGGTGGTATAAAGCGCAACATCGTTAATCAACTCGTTTTCCAGCAATGTTGCAAAACATGTTGCACGTTTTTTGTTGCCCGTTTTTCTGTATGTTAAAGCTAAAGTCTAAGTTTACGTTACGTCGTGTGCTCTTGTGGTTTACCATTTTTCACCACCAAGGTAATAAATGAAACTAGGCACCCTAATTTTCTTCCTTGAATAATGAGAGAATTCTATATACTCGGTTTTCCTTCACAAAATAATACACAACGCAAAATCAAAGGGAAGGGAAGAATCATTTTTAATATGTGGAATAAACCTCAACACTCCTTTAAAAACTTGCACTTCATTCTCGGTTCGTTTCCAGCTGATACCAATTCGGATTAAATGGGAAAAGGTCTTTCTCACTTAGATTTGACGCGTAAATTGTAAGCTAATTAAGATGTGCTACTTCTTTTGACAGTGGCCCTTGGATCCATTCCTGAACTTCCAGCTGCAAGCTGCGAGGAAATAAAGATGAGTGAGGGACAGGTTGTGACCAGTAAAAAATACTGGATGATTTGTATAAACCAGGATATGGCTGTACTTGCTTACTGTAATATGACGACGGAAGGTGAGCTTAATTGCTGGCGAGCCTTTGCGAGCCAGCACACCATTCTCACCGATAGCGGGAAAATGCCAAAATTTTCACTTAAGAAGTTACCATCAATACTACTTAGTCATATTACCGATAACGTGAAATCAGTGGAAACTAAATGTTCGTTGTCTTCCCGATAAAAGTGATATACCCTGGAGTGTTCATTTCACAGTTTTAACGAGTCTCCTTTCGCTGATAAAGTAATTGAAAACCTTAAATGCCGTTAACATCTTTTGGTGGCTTTGCTGCTAACGAGGAGGTTTTATGTAAAGTGGAACTAGGGTTAATTAAGGGGGTGCGTATTTTTTCTGAGACGCGAAACTTGTACGAATTCTTGTTGTAAGGAGTTTACCAAACCGGCTATTTCAGTACTGTATTGGTTTGTTTAAATTTTCAGTGCCTCTTATCAATTTTACAACAAAAGGATACACGGGACGATATGGTATTATTCAAAGATTCATAGTTCCGAAGACCGGTGTTTATCTGATAAAAGCCTGGGGTGCTCGAGGAGGAACACACTCGACTAACTATGGAGATTACCCCGGAACTTACTACGGCGGAAGAGGGGCGATGAAGCAAGGAACGTTTAGCTTGAATGTAGAAACTGTTCTGAATATTGTGGTGGGTCAGAGAGGAGGAGACTCTGTTGAAGTGAAAGGAGGACAGTCTACTAACTTGAGGGCGGCGCAACTGGGACTTTCCGTAGAGGACAATGCTGGTACTGGGGGAGGGGGAGGGAGCTTCGTTTATACAACAAACGACGAGCTTTTGTTAGCTGCCGGAGGGGGAGGGGGTGCGTCTAATGGATATAACGGGGTGGAAGGTCAGGCGGGTACCAGTGGCACCAGTAGTGTAGGTAACGATTCAAGTGCGATTTATGGCGGAGGGACTGGGGGACAACCTGGTCAATGTAACAATAATCCCGAGACGGCTGACTACCATGGGGGAGTGGGTGCAGGTTGGTTGGGGGAAGGGTGCGCCAGAGTCGGCCCAGAACATGGGGAAAGGGGTGGATCGCGTGCCCAGAATTGGGTGGGGAGACGTGCTGGAGGAATGAATAGTGGCTATAACGGTGGGCCACCCCCTGGGGCAGTAGGAGGGTTTGGCGGTGGGGGAGGAGGTTCCGAGGATAATGGTGCATCAGGAGGGGGTGGTGGATATTCCGGGGGAGGAAGTGGTTTATGGGATTCTCAAGCCGGTGGGGGAGGGGGCTCGTACTGTAGTGGCTCAAGCTGTTTAGGTATCACTGGAGGTAATATGAATGATCACGGATTTGTGGAAATATTTGAGTTGTGAAATATTGATAACATAAAGTTCTTGGCTTTGCTGATCTTTCACATGATACATCTAACTAGATTTTTAAAAATTTCACTGACCTTAGATAGCAATTGTAACACCTAACATAAAATTTGCCTGAATTCTGAATAGCCGGAGAAAACAGCCGACACTTCGAGACTCCACCGCTGGTTCCCCCGCGAAATGACGTCTGAGAAAAAACGATTGCAGAAGTTCCACACCGACGATTCGTCCCTACCCAGATCTGGGTCGTGTTTCTGATTGGTTGAAGCACATTTTCAACCAATCAAAAGCCCTACCCAGATCTGGCTAGTGATACGTCATCATAATGGAATTTCTGCCCTCCTTTTTCAGACGTCATTTCGCGGGAAGTCGCGAAAAGTCGGCTGTTTTCTCAGACTAGATTTTCAAACGTGCTTATAATTAAGACTTTCTTTCTCGTAGACCATACTGGCAATCTTTTGAACCAAGTATGCAGCGGCCATTGCGTCCTCCCCCGTCCCTCCGCTCTTTCATGATCCTTCTTTCTTTCTCTCCTATTTTATCCTTCTATTTTTCGTCTCTGAAGTGTCTTTCGGCTTTTTGGACCGATAAGAACTGTAGTTTTGTCTTTCTTCTGGTTAAATAAATCACAGTTTTTTGTTTTCAACACCAGCTAGATATATACCGTATAAGACCTGTAACCTGGTGACATTCATTTTAAAATAGTTCTTCACTATTCTAGGCGCACCTGAGATGGTAATAAGTGCAAATTTAGTTGCGTTAGAGAAACAACCGGGAAGCAACTTAGTTTTCAAGGTTGCTTGAAGAATCGACCTAAAAAATGCAAATTCATTAGTCGTGCAAAAAACTCTTCACGTCAATTACATCCCCTAAGAACGATCTATTGATCGGTTTCACTGTTCAGTAGTTAGCCTTGTGCAGCTGGCAAATCTCTCTAGAGAATCCATGAGTCCCTTCAAAATCATGTTAAATAAGTTTCAACTAAGCAAAATCAGACTAAATAACTAACGTATTGGTAATCCCATACAATTTGCCTATAAATATACAAGATAGGTGTCCATTTAACTCTCTCAAACTGGTTTAGTTTTATCTGTAATATTGAGGGATGTAAAACATGTAACACGATGGTGCGCAATGAATATGTGGCGAATATGTATAAATCTACTGTAGTGTTTAGAATTCTCAATAAAGTGTATATATTTACTGATAATTTATATTGCATAGTATTGTCTGTAAATCAGCACATATTGGAACGTGGTAATTTTAACATCAAGGCTCGATATATAAAGAAATTGAATATATGGGTAACCTGTTGCAGAGTGTGAAGCAAAATCCAGTTTTATGGATTTGGAACTTGCTATCTTATGACAATTTTTTGGTTTATCCCATGACTTTTTTTAGTGTAACCTATGTCCAGGGTTCTCATTTTCATATCAAAAATGTTATTAAATCATTTTCCAGTCGACTCCCTCTTAGCGGACACCATGCTTTATGGACAAGGGGGAGGGTACTACTCGATTATATAAGGCAGCCTTGCAAAGTGCAAAGGGCAGGGTCTTTTGTGCCATTTTGGACAGTAAACGGGTGTAAATTTCCAACATTGTGATCGGAAACAGAGAATGGTTCGCAAGAGAATCACAAGAGTGTGTTAAAACCATTTTTGCCTAAAACTTACAATTTTCAGAAATTCTTTACTGGTGAGTTGTACCAACCAGATCTGGGTAATGTTTATGATTAGTTGAAGCAAATTTCCCCGCGGGGCATGACCAATCAGAAGTACCACCCAGATCTGGATAGTGATATGGCGGGAATTTCTGCGCTCGTTCATACCTAGTCCCATTCTCGTCCCCAGAGCCTCTTGGGGGCCCTGAGCATAAGGACAAGGAGGCTCTTGGGACACTGGATTTGAAGTCCTAGACTTTAGGAGTTCCCGTCATTTCTGATCATCTACAAAATTTCTAATAGCATTAACTTGCTCTTGCCAAAAGTGTCAATGACTGTTAATTTAGGTGATTCAAAGTTTTTAAGGAGAACCCTTCAACTTACTTTTGAATCGTAAATGACCGGAAGTCCTAAAATCTACGACTTCAAATCCTGTGTCCCCAGAGCCTACTGTTCCTCATGCTCAGGCCCCAAGGAGGCTCTCGGGACGACAATACCTAGTCCCCGTTCGGCGTCCTCCCAGGCCTTCTCGGTCAATGCATTTCGGTGACATATCGGAGACGAACGTGACCCGGAACGCATAAGTCGAGGGGAATAATGATGTTTAGGGACTAGGCAAAGCTCGTTCTGCTTCAGACATCATTTCGCGGGGAAACCGTACGGGTGATGGTGTGGCAAAATGTCGGCCATCTTCTCAGAAGTTAATTTCCGTGAGCATGAGAATCTCGGGCTGCACGCAAATGAGTTTTAGCTAGCCAGTCAGTGGAGCGAACGATGTGTTCAGACGTGAGGTAAAAAACAAAATACTAATTCCAAAAAAAAATGACGTTTTTTCCATGTGAGAAAAACTATAATTTCAGTCAAACCTCAAAAGCCGCAGCGGTGTGTGCCGAGTTTCGCTCCAAGTTGCCCGCCTTTTATAACGCGGGTCAGTAGTCCGAAAACCTGAAAAAAAAGCAAGTAAGCTTGAGTTGCACTTTTAGTTGGAGCTGTTAAGTCTCCTGTTGAGTTTCTGCACATTGGCCATTTCACTCACATTTTTGTCGTTTTCGTGGGAGTGCTTCAGGGACCATGAAAAGACTGTTGAGGGCTTGTTCCTACCCTCCCGGTTTTAGAGCTGTTTTTTTTAGAAACAAGGTAAAAGATGACTTTTTAATGCATGACCAGAACCTAAATACCCCATTCTCTGGTGCTCTGTAAGCACATGAGCCCTTCAATGGCTTGTTTGGTCATTTTGTTGCTGTGTTGTTCCTGTGTCCTGTTTTGTTACCACTTTGTTCCTGTGTGCAGTCGTGCAGAGGAAAGTCATACAAGTCAATTTATTTCGTTGTTTCATACCATATTTGCAGGAACACGGTTGTGTTGAGATCCAGAAATTTTGCTACCATGGCAACGTGACACAAGGGCTTATCCCCCATACACACCCTATTCCATAGGTAATTCGTTTCGAGTTATTTTTAATACCATAGATCCCAAGGGGGGTTAGACAACAGCCAATCACTAAGCGTCAATGTGTTCCACGTAGATGACCCACGCTCAGAGCCGCGTGCCCTTCACGAATTGACGCAGTAAACATGAAATGTCCTGAACTCGCCTCATGAAAATTCGAAACACAATTTAGCAAAGATGAAAAATTGATCGACGGGCCAGCTGTATCTTCCATGCACTCTATTAGCCTCACGACGTTTTTTGTTTGTTTTTGTTTGAATGAATTGTCTGAATTTTCGTAAGCTTTTTAAATTAGTAGAAAACAGTGTTTTTAAGGATCTGATCGATTGATAGCAAAATATCCTATAGTTAGAACGGTTTAAGTTACAGAAAGAGAAACCTCTAAAAGATTCTGATCTATTAACTCATACATAATTTTTCTTTATAGCAAAAGTTAATATGTCTTTTACTACAATAGCGTGCCAGTAACCCGGTTTTTAATTAGCTATATCTTATAAAATAAGGCCTCCCTTCTTTTTTCAGCTGTCTGTAGTTTTGCCATAATGTTAATTGAACTGAAGTTTATTGACTTTCAGTTTAATACTCGTTTGCTGCGTGAGTTTACATGAAATTATACTCGCTGCCGGTAAAACTTTTCTCACGAACAGAAAACGGTTACCACGATCTCCTTGGGTAATAGCTATAGGAAACATTGGATTAATGAGTTTTTAATAATATCTTGTCAAAACGAGTACTCAGGGTGGGGGCTAAAAATGTCGAAAGCTCGCCTCTATTACTTCTTTCCCAAATTTACCCGTATGAAAGTAGGCAACAAAATTCAACAAAAATGAAAAATTGAATGAGATATAAAGAAATAGATATATTTGATCTAGTTAATTCTAGTTAATACATTTCAAACAAACGAAAATAAAATTCGTTGGTGTTCGCTTGAAGCACAGAGGGTAAGATTGATGTCTCTTCGTCTCTCGTTTAACGAGAAAAAAGTCGACAGGAGTAAAATCGACACAGTGCACATGTTTTATAGACATAAACACTATGCTTCTGCATATGTGCATACAGTTTTTCCTTCAGTTCTTTCCTACTTTCCCTCCAAACCAGCAAAGCCAGTCGATGGATGAAATAAAATTGAACGCTTGTGCTGAGATCAATAACAAACAAAACTATTTGCCTTCTTATTTTTTATTGAATTTGTTATTAGAAATAACATGGGCGAAGAATAATTCCTTACGAAAAATAGTAAACAAATTTAAAGATAAAAGTGAAAGGACTTATTGGGATTATTTGGTTCATTTGTTATAACTTTTCTCCAGCTGCAGCGATTCCACTCACTTAAACATAGGACACCCACGCATCGTCTTTCTAAAAAGTGTTTTCGGATAGTCCAATTTTAAGAAAAGGAAAGAACTCCATTCGATTAGAAAAAACTACCGCACAGTCAACTTACGTATGATGGAAAACTTAAGCGGGTTCAGTTCTTTTCCGAGAAATAAAACGATTTTTAATAGGGCCGGAATAACATCATGCCGGGTAGGTTTTGGAAGTATATAAATCAGCTGTCGACTTGTTTCTCTTAATGACATCTTTTCAAACTAGCAAAGAATGACCAGTCATTTGTTTTTCTTAACTGAGGCGTTACAACCAGTCTAAGCGGCCTCATATTCGTTGATAAAAGAAAAATACATGAAAATAAAACTATATGCTAGTTACTACTGGTATCACATTTAAAGTTGCATTCTGCATGACATTGTGTAATACGGAGTGAATTTTTTATTTAGAACCCCGAGGCCTTGATGAATTGACCTTGCAAGCGCTATCGCTCGGTTAATACATCTTTTTTATTTCTTCAGACTTAAAAAAAAAATCTTTTAGACTTTTGAGGATAAAAT